CACTGGCAACAGTGTTTGCCGCTCAGAGCACAGCTGAGACAAGTCGTAAGAGCAGATAGCTGAGAGGGTGGCCTGGCGGAGCTAAACATTACTCATTCGTTCCACACACTGATCATCCCTCTGTAATGCGGAACTTATGATGAAAACCTATGAACGTGACCCACTTTGTGTGCTGCACATGGTGCCACTCAGCCATGTTTCAGTCAGGTTGTGTTGTGTTGTTGTGTCTTAGGGCCCACAGTGTGTACAGCCACTCTGAGCCAGCTGTGTGACACTCAGGTTGTGTTGTGTGTTGTGTTGTTGTGTCTTAGGGCCCACAGTGTGTACTGCCGCTCTGTGCCACTCAACTGTGTGACAGTTGAACAGCTGGGAAACGGACAAAGCTGGTGAGTCTGAAATCTCTTGTTCTCCGTCCCTCTCTGTCCATTCCTCACACTCCCTCTCTGTCTGTTCCTCACACTCCGTCTCTATCTCTCTCTCTGTCCGTTCCTCACACTGTCTCTCTCTCCTTCTCTGTCTCTGATCGGTAATAGACCAGGTGACCCCTACTCATGTCTGAAGCCATAAACATTCGTGGCCTCAGAGAAAGAACCTCTCTTGGGACACAGGTTGAACTCTGTGGCCCTCACATGGTGGGTTCGGGCAGGTGGGACTGTCTGCTATGAGCTAAGACACACAAAAGCTTGTGGCAATTCTGAACTGAGCAAGTGTGCACTGGGGAATATGTAAGAATGCATGAGAACTCATTTTATTTGACTTCTTTTATTATGATGATTGATTAGCTCTGTTCATCTATGATGTGTCTTTTTATTCTGAATGGATTCATGGGCTTCTTCTTGCCTTTTTCCTATCATTAGGCCTGCGGACTCCTCAGGCCATCCCTCCTCCGAAACTCCCCTTCCCATCATGCTCCTGGGGGAGTGGGGAGCCGGGCAGCCCCGGTGCATTATGGGTCGTGTGCGATGTCATGTAGTGTGCGTCCTCTTCCTGCAGCTGCAGTGGGTGTGCTCACTGTGCAGCAGTGTCTTCAAACAGGTCCGTCTCTTGTAAATTCCCCCTGTATCTGTACACTTTATCTGCTTAGATAAGCCAAAATTGTGAATGTATCTCCAGATCTAATGGTGATGAGTGTGAATGTGAAGTTACTGATGAGCTGTTCTGAGTGTCTTTACAGTCTACAGATCTGATGATGAGTGTAAATATGAAGTTACAGATGAGCTGTTCTGAGTGTCTTTACAGTCTCTACAGATCTGAGGAAGATGGACTGTTTCTGTGAAGTTATAGCTCCTTTGTCCTTTAGCTTGTGTTATAGTCTTGTGTTTCTGTGTCCAACAGGGTCGCTGCACCAGGAATTACCCCCCCTGTCACTCTGACAGTGGAGTCTTCCAGGCAGAGGCAAAGTAAGAATGTGGCTGGGCAACTGCAGTCTGTGTATCTCTGTAATTTCTGATTGTCCATCAGTAAGCCACTGGGTCAGTCTGTCCAAGTGTCTTTAGCAGTGTCTGTATCTCTGTCCAGGGCTGTGGTGGAGGATGGCAGTGGGGAGGCCCAGGTGTGGTTTTCAACTCCGACAGTCCCAGCGCTGCTGTCATTGGGTCCCTCAGAGTGGGAGGGGCTGCAGACGCACATCAGAGCCAGAGGTCACCTGAGGGTCATCCATCGAGGGAGGAGTCCTGAGAACAGAGTGAGCGAGAGGAAAAGGAGATGGTGCTGAGAGCAGAGAATGATTGTGTGATAGAGGCACATTG